AGAGTGTAAATAATATTTTTATTGTCTTTTTTTTTTTGAGATGGAGTCTCGCTCTGTCACCCACGCTGGAGTGCAGTGGCTTGATCTTGACTCACTGCAAGCTCCACCTCCTGGGTTCACTCCATTCTCCTGCCTAGCCTCCCGAGTAGCTGGGACTACAGGCACCCACCACCACGCCTGGCTAATTTTGTGTATTTTTTAGTAGAGATGGGGTTTCACTGTTTTAGCCAAGGTGGTCTTCATCTCCTGACCTCATGCCGCCCGCCTTGGCCTCCCGAAGTGCTGAGATTACAGGCGTGAGCCACTGTGCCTGGCCTTGTCATCTTTTGAGATGTTTTGAAGCTTAATGTCTAAGGTGCCAAGTGTAATCAGAAGACGTAGCACAAACAGCCCTTTCAGGTACATTGCTTACAATTGGGACAGAGAATAGCTATAAAAAATGAATTTAGGGAATTACCTGAATCTGCCCTTTTTACTCCCCACTAATAGGTTAAATAAGATCTTCTCAAACCTTAGTTTCTACTCCTTGTTAAATACAGATTTAATTCTCATTCTTTCGATGACTTTTTAAATAGGCGCTAGCTGTGTCTTTTGGCTGCTTTGAAGGTTTTATTTGTCTGCAATGAAATGTGAAACAAAACTTTTTTCTTTTGTGTAGTCAAATTAATTTCTTAGCGTTGTAGATTTATCAGAGACATTCTTGATATAAAACCTAGTTTTGCACTGCCTTAGAACTACCGGTTATTTATAGTGTAAATATGTGCCAGAAATTGAACAGGGATGGGAAGGGAGTCTAAAATGTTATTTACGTTGACATAATTTAGAGTCATAACTGAGTTAAGGCTTCCAAATTCCTGATAGAAGAATTTAGTATTTTACATTGAGGTGTAATTTAGATTGATAATTGCAAACTTTTTAAATAAAGGTTTTATTAGATTATAACTTAAAATAATCAGCCCTGTCCCCTGATAAATTATAGGACAGTAGGTGGAAGTAGAGTACAATAACTGAAAGGCCCAGGAAATACAACCGGAAGTGTATATTGTTAGTGTGAGGAAATTTTGGATAATTGATATGACTAGTTACAAGATTTGGAATTTTACTTTGGCAAATAGAGACACACCTCACTGATGTTCCTTGGGTTAGGAAAAAAAATGTGATTTATCTTTGTAAAATTTGCCTTTTGGCGTTGAGTGTCTCCTTTTTCTTTAAAAGATAGGAATTTAACCACGGTTACTTATTAAACAGATAAGGCATTTCAGGAACAAAGTGTCTTGAATTATCTGTTGAATAGTTTATATTACAAAGAGAAAATAATTACTATTTTTCTGGGACCTTTTTTTTTTTTTTAACTCACCAAAAAGGAAGTCATTACATCCAAATTGCTAGGATCTTTTGACAAAATTAGCAATGTGTTTTCTTTGGTCCTTATTCCCACCACCCCTGTACTTAGAAAAAGAACTTACTGATTGTAACTAATAGGAGGTCTAACTGCAATTTTGTGCACTTGGAAAATGGTTTAGAAAATTTCGGTAAGCATTAAGTGCTTCTTTGGAGGGAATGAGAAAGGATTATGTTATGAGTCAGGCTGCAGATGATGACTAGAACAATGGTACCAGGCTTGGTAAGTGAGAATACTTCAAGAAAAGCAAGGTCAGTAAGAAGCTGTGGAGTGTGAGCGCTGTCTGTGTGTATCCTTTTTCTTTTTAGAGGCCTAAAGGATTTCAAAAATGGTACTGATGCCTTTTATGCCTGGATTCTAAATATAGACCATAATCCTTACATTTTTTTAAAAATTCAAGACCTGACAGAATAATTGGCATTTAGAATTTTTATAAATTTTATCAAGTGAATCAAATTGATAGTGTTACTAATATTGTTACAAACAGGAATCTTAGCTGTTAAGTTTAAAAAGCCAAATATGCAAGTTATTCCTTTATTCAGCTATGTTAAATCAAGAGACTTCCTAAAAGTAATCTTTAAAAGTGGGTACATAGGGAGATAAAGAATCTGGCTATGTTAACCTCTGATTGTTATTAGAATGATAAAATTGTATGCCCATCTGCAGAATCAGATATTTTGTAAAACGTATTATATTTTTTATTTATTACGCCCAAGTATTTTGAAAAGGATCTTTCTCTTAACTACTAACTTTACCCATTATTTATGATTAAGTCGTCCTATTAATATAGTCATATCAGACGAATGATATTAATGTGTGCTACCATCTGTGTGCGGCCATAGTCTTTTTTTTTTTTTTAATAGACTTTACTTTTTAGTAGTTTTAGGTTCATAGCAAAATTGAGCCACAGTCCTTTTTAATACTGATCAGACATCATGGTAGTGATCGTTAAGGAATCTATTTCTGCTTTCAATTGCAGTGTATATAGAAAATGTATTTTGCAGTCTCATTTTTTATAATTGTTTTTTCAAAGTATTACCATTTCTACTGAATATAATATGTACAGTTTCATTATGAAAGAATTTACTAAGTAACTGAAGTGAAAAAACAATGGGTTTTACTGATGCACTAATAAAGAGATGGCATTTTTTGAAATCTTTTTCATGTTGTGGAAATAGGAGTGTCAATGTGTGTCTTGTGATTTGTTATTCTGTTTTTACTGCTTTAGGATTGAAAACTTTTACTTATGTATTTCACATTTTGGCGGCTTCAAGCAGGGTGAGAATTTTTTAGGTCTGTTTTGAAAAAGCTGTGACACAAATGTTGGACATATACACATGCCAAAAATGTGTATAAACTGTTGGAACTTCAAGGAGACATTAGTTTTTATAGACAGCATTTATATTCTTGTCTTCATTGTTATTTAAAGTAACTTCCATCCTAATTAATGCATCAATTACTACTGAACATGACTTGCTTATAAATTCAAAAGTATGTGTATAATATTAACATTCACTTTTGGGGAAAAGTGTAGAACCCTTCAGTATCAAATTTCTGATTTTAAAATCAAAATTTACCATGCCTCATTTTTCTCCACTGTTAAAACTGGCTAGGCTTTGAACTGGCACCTTTTATTCTTGGGAGGAAGGGTAGAGATTGTCTCAGGTTGGGCTACAATGAAAGAATCCAAGGCCACAAAACTTGCATTTTAAATTTCAATAAAATTATTTGCTTCATGTCAGCATTAAGAAATCTTAAAATTTTGGTATACTTTGCACTTTCAGAAAGTTATCTTAAGAGTTAATATAATCAAACTGCATATTGATATATAAATTAAGAAAAAATTCTTACTGTTTGCATTTTTTTTCTTTTCTTTCCTTTTTTTTTTTTGCTTCCTACTGAAGTGTTTACATTTTGATATACTGTCAACTAGGGCCTAAGTGATACTATTTAATTGAATGGCTTTGGTATGCATTAGTGATATTCTAAGAATATATTTAGTGTTTTTGGTGGGAGTATGTGATATCTTTTTAAAACTTATTATAGAAAACCTTAAACATTTACAAAGTAGATAGAATCAGGTGATGAACCCTAATCTCTTGTCCTCACTCATTTAATATCATGTCTAGTCTGTTTTATTTGTTTTTTATTTTTGGGACAGAGTCTCGCCCTTGTTGCCCAGGCTGGAGTTCAGTGGTGCGATCTTGGCTCACTGCAACCTCCACCTACCAGGTTCCAGCAATTCTCCTGCCTCAGCCTCCCAAGTAGCTGGAATTACAGGCACCTGCTACTACACACAGCTAATTTTTGTATTTTTAGCAGAGACAGAGTTTCACCATGTTGGCCAGGCTCGTGTCGAACTCCTGACCTCTCTCGGGTGATCCACCCACCTTGGCTTCCCAAAGTGCTGGGATTACAGGCATGGGCCACCCCACCCAGCTAGTCTTTTTATTTTATACTACTACATTTTACTTTTCTCCCTACTTCTCCAATGATCATGAAGGGAATCCCAGATATCTTATAATTTCATTGATAAATATTTCAATGTGTAACTCTGAAAGAGAATACAAGTTATTTGTATTCCCTGTGAGTACTAGCTTTGTTGTGGAGAGGAAGTTCATGAGTGCTTGGAAACAGGCCTGTCATTGTGTTTTATTGTAGTTAATTTGCATTTAGAAAGATCAAGAGTGTGTATTATTTGGGTGTTATTACAGTAAATCTCAAAGGATTTGAAATGTTGAATCTGTAAATAACATCTCTGAAAACATTATGAATTACCATCATGTGTATGCATGAAGTTATGTGACAGTCCTCATTTCAGAGGTATCCTACAATTTGCTTTGTCATTTGTTTCTGTCCCCCTCTATAATCTGTTTATTTAAATGCTGATCATATAGCATTTAGTTTCAGGTGATATTCTATATTCCTCTATGTGTGTCATAAAAAGAAAGAGAAAGGTGAGAGAGAAGGGAGAAAGGGAGAGAGGAGGAAGGAAGGAAGGAAGGAAGGAAGGAAGGAAGGGAGGAAGGAAGGGGGAGGGGATATGGGACTGAGAAAAGAGAAAGATCAGAACAGGGTAAAGACCACAGATGAGATGCCAGATTGTGGAGCTAAAACCTCACCTTCTCATTCTCACTCACCTGACCTCTCTCTTTATCTTTCCTCTCCCCTTTTCTTGGTCTCCTCATTGGTTTGTATCTTCTTCTCTTGGCATTTACTGAACTTTGCCTGTCAAATTTAGGGTCAGGAAGATTGCTGATTTTTTTCCTTAAAAGGTGTTTTTATTATGTAGGAGTTGTGAGATAAAATTTAAGCAAACTATTTTAGGACTGATTTGTTGTGCTTTATGTGCTTTTATACAGAGTTTTAAGAATGTTTATTGAAAGGAATTCAAGTAGTTAGGTGCCTCCTATGGACTAGGTTGAACCTTTCTATTCTCTGGATGAATTTTATGGACGCATGAATTTTCTATAATGTTTGGGTTCACTTTAAGTGGATTTACTGGAAAATTGTATAATAATTTTTTCTTTTTCTCTGTGTTTGTTTTTGCTGTTTATTTACTGGATGAAACGGATTCTGTTCAAATTTGACTCTGCAGTTCACAAGATTCCTTTGCAGTTCACCCTTGGAGGTAAGAGTTACTCACTGACCTTAATATTAGAATTGGTAATTGAACACCATTATTGACATCTTTCATTAGGCATTTATTTGATAATTTAGGAGTGCTCATTTTGGTGTGACACATATATTCTTCAATAACAGTAATGGAGTGAGTTACTGCCCGCCTTTTTTTTTTTTTGGATAAAAGTTTCTAGAAGTTATATCAGTAGCAATTCACCTTCATGACAGGTTATTGCCTCTTTTTAAGTATATTTTCTTTCTCAATAAGTAGAGAGAAATCAGTCCTTTATTTTAAAGAGCCTTGTTGTATCGTCATTACTCCTGTTTGTTTAACAGCAGCCTTATGTTCTATAAATTGCCATTGTATTAAAAGAAAGCTGGAAAAATCAGAGGCAAAGGCTGTCTTCAAGGAAGTTTCAGTTAGAGAGAGCACTTTAAAATCCATGAATTGACAAGAGAAGAGCAAAGTTATTGAGCTGCTATTATAACAAGGCAATATTCTGGGTTCTTCATTCACTTTTTCATTTAATCCTCATCATGGTTTTCAATGTAAAACTGAGAATCCAGTGATAAAATTGTGAGATAAAGAAAAACTATTAGATATTTAGAGAACTAGATATCGTTATGAGCTGCAGTTGCAGAAGAACTTGTAGATGATCATTGAGACTTGGAAAAGAAAGTAGAGAAAGGGTGGAAGCAGAGTTATGTGAAGAGGTAGTGGGACTTAGAACCAAAACCGGGTAAGAGCTTGCCTTCACTTACTAACCGTATGACATTGGGTAAATCACAACTGCCCTGAGCCTCATTTTTCTTATCTTTTAAATGCAAATAATAATTCCTACCTCTCAGATGAGGTGATGGAAATGGGAGCAGTTATAAACTATGCTAGTTACATCATGGCACTATTTTGTGTTCTCCTCTTAGGCTTCAGCTCCACGCGATGAGACTCTGTTCCTTGCCTTGCACTTGTCCTTCCCTTTGTGCCTATTGTTTATTTCATTTTATGCTTTTCCCATTCCCAACTTGTTCAAATCACATTCCTCTTCAGGGTTGAGCCTCAATACCGTGTCCTTTCTGAGACCATTTCCGCTTTTATAACATTTTATTTGATTATTGAGACTATTACTGCCGATAATGTGGTGTGGCCCACAGTGGCACATTGAAAACGTGTGGTAGCCAGCTGAGTGGTCACCAGGAGAAATGGACCAGACCAGTGGGGGTAGTCCCATCCAGACTTGGTCACATTGTCTAAGTATCCAGGATCAACGGGGAAGCAGAATGGTATAGTGGAAAGAGCCTAGGCTTTGAAATGAGAGAGGCCTGAGTAGCCCACGGGCAAGTCATTGACTCCTGAGCCCTTTTTCCTGATCTAAGAACGGAGATAATAATACTTACAGGGACATTAAAATTAAATGAGATGATCTGTGGCAAACACTGAGCACAGTGTCTGGCAGATAGAATTTTAATTAAGAGTTAGGTGTAAAGTGAAAACCAAACCATAAAAAGTTGAAAACAATATAAGTTTTATAGCCTGCTCTATAGTTATGGAAGCACTTTCTCACTTCAAAAGCAATGGAAAGTATCAAAAAACAGAGTGAAAAAATTAATTTGATTATGTAAAGACTCATAATTTTGTACATGAAAACAAATGTAGCTAAAAGGTAACTTGGGTAAAGTATGATGAAAGGGTTATACTTAATGTAATGATCTTCTAGAAGCAATATGAATTTCTTTTTCATAAAATTTGGTTGGATTTTTATCAGGTAATTGATAAGATAAAATACAAATGGTAATAAACGTGTGTTAAATGTTTAATCCTATTAATAATAAAAGAAATGCAGTTTAAAATGACAGTGATCTACAATTTTATTTTAATCTATCAAGATATCTTATTTTTTAAGTGAATGCTTGACAAGATATAATGAGATGGGATGTTTATGAACTTCATCCTTTCTAGGAAGCAGTTTGGTCACATACACTAAAAGCTTTATATACATCCATACCTGTGGTTGAGTAATTGTATTCCAAGAATCACTGTCAGAGAGTTCATCAAAGATGGGGACAAAACTTGCATTAAAATGTTTATGACAGCATTATTTATAACTGTAAACAATCTAAATGTACAACAGGAACAGGTCAAATAAATTATGACACAGCCATATGATAGACCACCCTACAACCATTAAAATGGAGATTGTGAATATGTGTTCATGGGTATATATTGATGAATAACACATACAAAATACATTTGATATATTGAGAGGTAAAAGCGTGATGCAAAATTATACATGCAGATCTTAGTTTAAAACAATTTAAGTGCACAGAAAAGTAGAAAGGAGATGCACAAAATGTTAACAACTACAAAGTGCTGTTTTATCCTTTACTTTTCCAGTAAAGGGCCCACAGTAGGTAGAGGTGCATTGGTAGCTTTTTGGTAATGCTTCTTGTAATCAGTGTTTGATGATGTACATCAGGGGAGTCTCTTTGATTTGATGTGGAAACAGCGTCTAACCTTGGAAAAAAGGGGCTGGCAGGAGCTTAGATGAGATAATGTTGATAATGTGTAATGCTGTGCTCTCATTTTAGCAAAAGCTTAGAGGAATGAACAGGAATAAGGGTTTTTAGCAGAAGGCAATTAGGCTGGGTTGGCTTTCCTATACAGGGACCAATAAGGAGGCTTGAGCTTGATGTCCACTTTACTGGGGCAAGTAGCAATTTAAGGCTGTTACTCACCAATGGCAAAGATACTTCTCAGTAAATCTTAGCAGTTGACATCTCTCAAATGTAAGCTCATTGAGAGAGGACCCTGTTTTTCTTGTTTTCTTGTTTTCATTCTTAGTATAAGTAGAACATAGTAGGCACTGAGTCAATAAATATTTGTTGAATGAGTGAATGAACAAATGAATGAATGAATTTTGTGGGGCTGAGACTGAGAGTAGCAGTCTTTCATCCATAATTTGGCAAGACTCAGCTAAAAGTAGACAAGTTTCAGTATTTACATTTTAGTATGGTTAACAGTCTGTCTTCCCAGTTAGATTGTAGCTACTTAAGATTGAGATCTTTGTCCTTTGTAATCTTTGGATGCTCTCAGTTATAGATAGGTCTTGGAGTGTACCTAGAGTACACTAGCTGCAACTAGAGTATATAGAGTATACACACACATATATATATATATATATATTTTTTTTTTTTTGATACAGAGTCTCGCTCTGTCACCCAGGCCGGAGTGCAGTGGCACAGTCTCAGCATATTGCAGTCTCTGCCTTCCATTTGAAGCAATTCTTCTGCCTGAGCCCCCCAAGTAGCTGGGATTACAGGCGCCTGCCACCATGCCTGGCTAGTTTTTGTATTTTTAGTAGAGACGGGTTTCACCATATTGGCCAGGCTGGTCTTGAACTCCTGACCTCAAGTGATCCACCTGCCTCGTCCTCCCAAAGTACTAGGATTACAGGTGTGAGCCACTGTGCCCGGCCACAAAGATATACTTTTAAATTACATATTACTACTCTTGTTAAGTATTGGGAATATATGTGTGGAAGCTTCAATCTTTGGTGAAAAGTAGAAGGGAAAGTATCCAGAGTTTAATGATAGTTTCTGTCTGCTTTCATCACTTAATGATCTGGAGTGGTATTTACCTTGGTTAATTATCTTTTTTATTACTGGGTTTATGACATTGGAGAGGAAGAAAAATCAAAATTAAAGATGACCAATATAAGTCTCCTTTCTTGATGGGAAATATTTTGCAGGCTTTCTGTTGGTATTTTTCTAGTTTGCAGTTCCACAGGGGCCACTTGAGGGCTTAAGTTCGTGGCAGCTACCCTTAAGTCTTCACTAGCAGCACTAAGCCGGGGGCTGCTGTTCCTTTGCCACCACATAGCGCCTGAGAGCCAAAGGAAAGGCCAGGCAGGAGAGTGTTGGGAGTCTCTGAATGTTTAATTTTGCCATTAAGCTTATGACTTAGCTGGAGAAGGAAAATTACAAATATGGTCTATACCCAGCACCTTCTTTAATTTTGAATAGAAGTCAAATTACTCTGGCAGAGATGGTAAAATACATGAGAGTTGCAGTTGAAAACAAAGCTGACTTTAAACTTCACTTTCTCCACAACGACTACTGTGAGTGAACCATGTCCCTTTGTTGTAAGTCCTAAACAGTTAACTGCCACATGAATCTAATGAAATTGTCAGGTTATAGTAATTACATCAGTAATTTGATATGTTGTCATTTGAGTGGACCATATGTGGAAAGTCAGTTACTTCCCTCTGTGGGGCTGACCCTTTTACATTCCTGTAAGCTGAAGACTAATAGAGCTCATTAAGCTTTATGGGAAAAGAGCTTTTATCACCTCGTCAAGTCAGGCAACATATTTCCATTAGATCCCTAATTTTGGGTGGCTCTGTAGCTGCTGATATGTACTCCCCTGCTAGGCTTACACCGGACCCTGGCCTTAACAGACATTTTTATTGACATTTCTAAGTCTGAATTACATTTTGTGTGGCACCACTTACAGATGTCTTCAATTAAATGTAGGTAAATAAAAGGGATTATATATCAGAGCTCGAAAGATTCTTGAATTTCTCTTCTGAGTCAAACTTTGCCAGCCAGTCCAGTAGGGCGCAGTCTCATTGTCACTTTTGTAGGTAGAGAGCTATAGGAGAGGCATTTATAACAAAAGTTAAACCAGGTGTGAATGTAGGTCACCGAGGTTTCTCTTCAGGTGTGTCCTTCTGTTCCTTCATTTCAAAATTTTCTGTATTAATAGGATAATAGCTTACTGTTAAGTTAGCACCTCTATTGTAGGTACTGTGCTTTCTACTCTCCTTATTTTAATTCTTACAGAATGTCAGTGAGGTCGATATTCCCAATTTTCTTATGAAGAAAACTGAACCCAGAGAGGTAGACTAGGTAGGTGCTCAATATCACAGCTACTAGTATGTGACAGTAATCACAAGATAGGAAGGAAGTAGAATGTGGTTAAGATTCTAACATTACATGAAGTGATATGATAGT